AAATAAAATTGTACATGCACGTCAAAAACGTGAAAAGGTTTTTGTTTGATCAATCTCTGTCGTTCAATGTCCCGAGTGTCAGTTTTGATGAGCCAGTCAGTCGTCTTTATTCACATCACAATGTAAAAATTTTACCCCCATATGATTAGGCCTACACGAAGGGTGACAAAGTAAATAAATATGTGCAATGAATTTAATGATACATAAAATTATTTAGTGTGAGATTTATTTTTCTCCTTTAATCCTCCATATTGATAGAGTTCCAACGTTAATAAATAAATAAATCACCTCATAAAGTTACAAATACTGTGTGTGGTATATTGTAGCCTTTCCCCTAAGTTTCTGGATAGCTATAGTTTTAGTTAGCGAATTATGGGTTAGCTGTGCCCACTACTGCAAAGAACAAATAATGTAATTTTGGTGATCTTGATTCAGGATTTTTTTTAAAAGAAACCATGATAATTGTCTGGTTACCATAGATTTTAAGCTTCCCAATATTTTGAAGTTTAACAATTCTGCAAAAGTTACATGTTACTGCAAGAGTGGCCCTATAAAGTCTTGGTAGAGCTGTTCTAATTTATAAAGTTCTTAAAGAGAAAACCCATGAATGCACAGAAAAAAACACGCAAACTCTATAATGGAAGAGACAAATTTTATTTTAGCTAATTTTATTGTGTCAGCAGATAAACTGATTCAACTTAGCACAGTCAATGTGTTTGAAATCAAATTAGAAACTAAACTTTTAATTTAATTTAATTTAATTTAATTTAATTTAATTTTATTTTATTTTATTTTGAAAAGCTCCACCGGAAATGACCCGTGTCTTCCAGTTTATCTTGACTTCTTCGTCCACTGATTGGGGGCAGCCAGCAGCTGTGAGCAGCAGCCTCTCTCCGTCCCGGAACTCTGCAGCCACAGGCGGCTCTAATTATTTTACCATCGGGGTTCGGTCCAACATGGCGGATTACGGATGGAAATACTGATGACAGTCCGAAAGATCGCCTCGATTTGTACGATGGTAAGGAGCTCTCCGAGCGGGCAGCGGTCTGTCAGGCTGTCCGCTGCTTGAGGCTAGCTGAGCCCTGCCTGCTAACCTGACACAACATGATAACACACAGCGTTAACACAAACTTATTCAGCCTTGTTGTTGAGGGCAGCTCTCCAGTTCTGCTCGTATTTGATTTTTAAATATCTCTGAGTAATACCGACACTATAAGTTCTCTAAGCAGACGGTAAACATCCGGCTTCATCTTGTTTGTGGTTTGTTTACGAGAGAAGGGCTGGAGTGACCAGCGGTCACTTAGCTTAGCCTGTTAGCTTGTCGGATACTGACTTACTAAAAAAAGTTGTCTTCTTACAGTTGTTAGTAGAAACGTTTGTCTCTTTTAATCCACCTGCGTGTATTATAATTGGAACCTATGAAAAACCAGTCAATTATGTAATAAAATATTTAATAAAAGCCCAGTCACTGATGCTGCTGCAGTAATTCAACATCATGTAGTGGTTTGATACGTTTAGTTTTTACAAAGGGCGTTGAGAACTAGCCTGATAGTTTAATTGTAAATCTAGTACACAGCTCCTTTCAACTCACCCCTTCATTGTTTTCAACTACAGCTAAAACAGTCTGGTAAGAAGACTGGATATTCAACTCAGTTCATTTTTATAGAGCCAAGTCAGAGCTTCACTGTACAAAAACATCCACATACATTATTACAAAGATTAATTAGTAAAAGTTATCATTGTAAGGAAGACAGCAGACTGTGCTGACTCTTCATTTCCCTGCTGTCCTCCATCCTGAGCAGCACATTGTAAGAAAGTATCGATACGTTGAAATATCGCAATATATTATTTTCTGATACTTTATCAATTCTCAAAAGCACAAAATGGATTTTTTACTTAATGCTTAATAGATGGATGTTGGAAGAAGAAATGCGGAAAAACAAAGTTCTCTTTGTTTTTCTGATCGCATAAAAATAAACTGAATTTAATCTGGTTTTTAATGCTTGGTGTGCTTTTTATGCAGATTCTTATTATTTTAAAGGCACAATGTGTAGGATTTTGTTAATACTTTTAGCTGAAATTGAGATAATCACTAACGACAACAATAAAAAACATGTCTAATCATTGCAGACAAAGACCTTGTTTTATTATTTTTACCTTATAAAAAGCTGTTTATAGCTCCATGGTCGCGGGTCGCCACTACAGGCAGCCGCCATCTTGCACCGCCATCTTGTCTACGAAGGCTCATGAAGGA